CTGGATTGGAACATTTAAGTACTTAATGTTGTTTTAATGTAATCGTGTGTTTTACTGCAGATATTTTGTGGTCTGCATGAGATTTTGGGGAAGCCAGTTCGTGTGGGGACTGATGATATGACTTGGACCTTATTGAAATACGTTAAATCTTCTGATCCTCATGATCCATGTGCCGTATATGATGAGGAAGGTTTATTGGAGGTTTATGGAAAGCTTAATGTTGCTCTTGGTGTGATGCACGAATGTTTCGAGCCTCTCAAAGCGGCTGGCACTGGAAGGGATTTAATCAAAGATGTTATTTTCAGCAAATGGTGAGATTTTTGTAAAATACATGCTAATAACTAATAAGTAATATCATCATCTTCAAGTTTTTCTCTTTTCTTTCTTTTTGTTTTTTAAAACTCCTGAATAGAATTGTGTTGATGATGTAAAAAACTCGTAATTTCAGGTCCGGGACCAGCCGGAGTAACTTTCAAGGGTTTTATACAATCGTATTGGAGAAGAATGATGAATTGATTTCAGCAGCTACCGTGAGGTAGTTAATATTATCTTATGTCGTCACATTCTTTACGTTGATCACTTGTTTTTTATTCTGTGTTTATCCCTTACATGAACTTCATGTTGTGTTGACTACACAGAATATATGGCAAGAGAGTGGCAGAAGTTCCTCTTGTGGCCACAAGGTTTCGATATCGTCGACTCGGAATGTGCCGGATTTTGATGGATGAACTCGAGAAGGTACACTGCATTTATATTACTTAAAAATCTTGTGTGATTCTCTATTTTCTCCCTCAGTCTATAACACATCAAAAAAAGAAAAACAAAAATATTAGCAGTAATGAACTTTTCCTTAAAGATTTGAGCAGGCAAATAAGATTCAACCGAGCTCGACTGAGTTCTAACCACTTCACCTTTAATTTATGCAGAAACTCGTGGAATTGGGAGTGGAGAGGCTCGTTTTGCCGGCTGTTCCTAGCATAATCAGCACTTGGACGAATTCATTCGGATTTTCCGAGATGAACGAGCCTGAGAGATTGAATTTTCTTGCATGCACTTTCTTGGAATTCCAAGGAACGGTACTTTGCCAGAAGATTCTAACGGGCAATCGTCCGTCACTATCGAGCCGCCAATCGACAGGTAATCCTAAGACTATGTTTGTTAAAACTAACTGCTCATAGTTGATAAGCTAAGTGATTTTCGAGCTTATAGCTTATGACTTGTAGCTGAAAAACTAACTTATATGATAAAAGCGTATGGTAAAATTAGCTGAAATAAAAATTTCAATGAATTTATTTGAAAAAGCTACCAAAAAAGGTTATAAGATGAGCTCCAGCTTTTAAGAAATGTTGGTCCTACCAAACGAAACTTTTCGAACAGACAAAACTTATAAGCTAACCAAATAAGCTATAAAGTATAAGCTAGCTTATTTAGTTACCAAACATAGCCTAGATGTTGCGACGAAACTACTCTAATACACGGCATGTATTTAGTTCAAACAAGGAAAAATCTATGTTACTTGTCTATGGAGAGATCATTTGCATCTAATTTTATTTTATTTTATTTTTCAGGAAAAGAGGTCGAAAGCTGTTGTTATCAGGTGAATGGAAATGGAAAGTCTGAAGTTATTTCAGAGGAAAATCAAGTGGAGGAGACTGACTTTATAGGCCAAGATTCTACATGGTATGTTTCAATGTTAGTTAAAAACTAAAAAAACCAGAAAAAAATAAATAAAAGATTGTGACAGGGTAACTCTGCATTGCTTCAAACGTTTTTAAAGTTTGCTCCTTTTGTTTCTTCTTCTTTTTTCTTTCACCTCGATACATACTGATATTTTCTTGGCGAATCATGTCTCGACAGGTGGATAGACGAGCTTCTCATGACTTCTTGACATTCGAGACGAACCTAACGCCAAGTGGTGGCATGTCGCTCGAGATACCGGGGTTTTAATCGTCCGATTACACACACATGGGGTCGTGTGTTGATCTGACGGTTAAAACTCTTACAATAGGGTGAAACTCACCATTTTTTTCTGTGCAGATGACCAACTCTTAACAGCTTTGTTGTGTCCTGCTGATTTATAACTTTCTCGAGCAGGAAAATTTTGGTAATTATATAACAAAGAGTGTGTGGTTTCTATTTGCTTTTAGTAAAAGCAAACAATATCAAACGATATTAGTGTTTATTCATGGTATATGAAAAATTATACTACCCATTTTACTTGGTCATGCATTCGATTTATTTGCCATATATATATATTTTTTTTTTTTTTTTTAAATCAATCAAGATCAACATTGACTACATAACAAAGCTACAAAATATGACATCATTGTATGTACATTATCTTTCATCAAATGCAGTGAAGCCTAAAAATGCATATCGAAATTTGCGATATTTTTCCACAAAATAGTAGGAAATCTCATCACTATAATTTTGGCGGACAAATTGAATGAGATTTGTCAAATATAAATTTATAAAATTATGGTTCATTTTTTGTGTGTAATTACATAAAATGATATAATTTCACATCTTACAATTTGATGATCCAAGTCGATTAGAAGTTAATACTACATTATTGTACTTTGTATTCATGATCATAAGTTCATAACCTCAATAATGATCAAACTTATGTCATATATCAAGATGAGAAGTAATGACATCACTAACACTAAATTCACAAAAAAAAAGAAGAAGAAGAAGAAACAAGTATATATATTAAGGGGAAATGCTATGGTCCCGTTACGGAACCATTCCGTCGGAGTTTGTAACTGTTAGATCAACTATTCCCGACAGTTACATGATGATCTAACGGTTACAAATTCTGATGAAATAGTTCCGTAATGAGACCGTAGCATTTCCCTAAATTAAGTTATCTATTCATCACTTATTTCCTCCATCTTTTTAATTTTTGTTGAATGCTTGTGAAATATTATAACATTTAACTTTGGGTCCCGATTTGTACCTCAATACAAAGGCACAAACTGCATCTGTGAAAATTGAAATATAATCTTGGCCTTCATGAAACCATTATTCAAGCTATTCGAGAATTTCTCAAGCTGGAGTGGTGTGTTCGATTGGCCCATATTGTAATTTCACGGCCGATAAGTTGGCTTTCATCGGCTTATGGATCCGCCGCCGGAGCTTAGGCATTGGCTGAACCATGATATCTTAGGGGTGGCTCGACCACCTCGCGTGATGCTTTGAAAGCCTAAAAAAAAAAATTTGAAACATAAGCCGTGCAAAAATCAAATTTCACAAAAGTAATGGGGCACAAGTGCAAAATTCACAAAGAACACAGTGGGAACCAAAGTGGAAGCAAAATACAGTTATTATATTCCCAAACCTATGGCGATGCCGAAAAACAGAATAAATTTTACACACACACACACAGAGATATGATTCAGTAATGGTGCTCGAGGCTCCGCCGTGCCGCGTCGGCCCTGTATTTAACTCTATCATTTCCGGTCTCCTTCTTCACACTTCCCCCAATTTTCTGCACAAACCCCACATATTCTCCCACTCCATAATTTTCCCCGATTTCAAGCTTCCTCTCAATGCCCCTCCCTTTCTGCAACTAGGTCACTCTCCGATCTATGTAAGTACGAAAGCCCAATTTCAAGATCTCTGGTTTTGTTTTGTCCTTTTTGTTGTTTGTTGCCAGCGATGTTTTCGTTAATGGGAGACTTGCTGTGCCTTTGCGTTTTATTCATTGAGCTGTCTTGCGAATTATTTGATTATTACTATTTTATTTTTTTTTTCTTGTTTGGTGGGTGAATATCTTACCACATGTGTTAACTGTGTGATGTTGTTTTTGTTTGAATGTGGAGTGAAATTTATTAGTATTTCATAGATATGGGAATGCCTAGCTTGCTTCTACAATTGGCGTCTGTTGAAGATTGGTTCTGATTTCATTAGCTGCAAAGGTTGTTCCTAAAGTGTCGTGCTTTCGAGGGATTTGTAGCTTGAAATACTCGTAGCGATTAGAATTTCCATTGGCCTTTGCATTTCATTTGGGGTCTTGGTGATGAAACATGGTGAAGTGTTCATTTTAGCTCTGTCCGCAATCTATGGCCGCTTGACTAAATGGATCGAGTATTGTAGTTGATTTACTCGTATTTTCAGGCAGTATGAATGTGCACACACACTGCTAAATACTTGTAACATAATGTTATCGTTGGAGTTATTTTGGGTTTGCTAAAATGGTAACTGGTGTTCTTTTTTTCTTTCTAAAATGGTGGTGTTTTCAATCGATCCAAGTGGGGCATATCACTGTCAAGCAGAGGAAAAAGGAAGCTAAAGAGTGGGAAGCCAAAGACCCCTGTAATTTCAAAAGTCAAGAAAATCGTAATCAAAGGCTACTCGCATGTCTGTGTCACACTAAAGCCACCATTTATCCGTTGTATTTCACTAATGTTTATGATTTGCGAGAATTCCCAAAGAATGTTGATTTTACTATGAATTTATGAATTAGGTCTTTTAAGGAACATTTAGGGTAATGGATGATGGAAAGATCAGGCTCTGGAAGGAGGGGAAGAGGCATAATGCATTCTCGAAGGTTTGTGATCTTTTGCATATTGTCGAAAACTTTAGTTAATATTTTGTGAGACAGGTTTGGACTTTAGAAAGACTGTTCCCTGCGAATGTTGCTTGTCCATACTTGTTTATAAATGAAGTTAATGGACTTCTGCAATATTTATGTCTTATCTATTATGTCATACTCATCCAGCGTTCCCATATAAGTTTTATATTAGTAACCTGCCTAAAAACTTACAAATGCTCCATGACTTCTTTTTACATGCAGTCCAAGAAGTCCAAGCGTCGTCTCAGACAACCTGGCATAATCCCATTGGTTTACGCCAAAATTATGAAGAAGCAATTTCTGCAGTTAAGTCAGACACTATATATAAGCTCCGCAATTTTCAGAATGTCGCCACCACCAAAGTTCCACAGACAACCTCTCGTAAGTTTCGGTTAATTACAATTTTCATATTTCAATAATACTCATGCATCTGCAGATGCTCCGATATTTGATCGAAGTACATTAATAAGATCGTATTCTCGTTTCATGCCAAATGCTTACGCACTAATCAAATGATGATCTCTTAATATTCTCTTTGATAATCCTCAAAAACTCAAAACAAATTTTTCAAGCCACACTAATTGGCAAAGTACCCCTTTATGACCCCACCCCTATTGAGTGACTCGTAATTCGGCGAATAATCGAACGCGACCCACAAGTTTTGTTTAGGCTCCCATCTATACGCACCCTCCTCATCAAATTTCCAATCGCAGGTCTTGTACTCATCACTCGTACAGTCGTAGTTGTATTTGTACGCGACAAACGTGCCCATATTTGTCGAGCAGTTGAACATGGTGGAAGATGGGTAGATCACTCGTTTGTGGACTTTGAACATATACTGGCCGCCCGATTGGAGGTGAACCACGTCAAAGTCGTCGTCGAACG